TGTGTCTCAGAGAGGCAGTGTGATTTACCCAAGCTCTTTTGAACTACTTCACTGTGGGGATGGATGCTGAAACCACGCTTGCTGGCTGAGCAGGGAAGGGTGTGTGTAGCACATAGTATTAGGTGGCCAGAGAAGCAGGCGGGGATGCCACACAGCCTGGGACAGCACAGAGAGGAGAAAGGCCCAAACACCCACGGGGCTGCATGGGTCACAATGATACCTTTTAAAACCAGAGCCCAGGGAGTAGGAGTGAGAACAGGGAGGGAGATAAAGATACTGGCTGAATTTTCACAACTAGTGGATGGTTACACTGTACTTGGGTGAATAAAGGATGAACAGCTTTTTGTAAGAGAAAACCAGTTACAATACATGTGTGCCAATTCTGCAGATACAGTTTGAGGTTTCTTTACTGAACACCACAGGAAAGGACCAGGCAGGCGATGGCCAGTGGGCAGCTTCATTCTTCCTGTTCATCCAAAACCAGTTCTTGTGACAAGTAGAGAAACCAAAGGCCTTTTGTGGATGGGCCCTTCTCAAGGTCTGGCCAGATCTGAAGACTGGCTAAAGGATGGGAGGGAAGGTGCAGAGATTGTGAAGAGCTCAGACCTTCAGTGCTATATGGTTTTGGGGTGTGGTGGTCCCACCCAACACCAAAGGCCCTCGGCTCCCCCTCGGTCCACAGCATTGCTGGTTCCTTGTTCTAGAAACTCCGGAAGAAGCCGGGCGCGGTGGCTCAAGCCTGTAATCCCAGCACTTTGGGAGGCTGAGACGGGCGGATCACAAGGTCAGGAGATCGAGACCATCCTGGCTAACACGGTGAAACCCCGTCTCTACTAAAAAATACAAAAAAGTAGCCGGGCGAGGTGGCGGGCGCCTGTGGTCCCAGCTACTCCGGAGGCTGAGGCAGGAGAATGGCGTAAACCCGGGAGGCGGAGCTTGCAGTGAGCTGAGATCCGGCCACTGCACTCCAGCCTGGGCGACAGAGCCAGACTCAGTCTCAAAAAAAAAAAAAAAAAGAAACTCCGGAAGAGAGGGAAGTGGGGTCCTGGCTGGTTCTGGCCTATCACACTGCCACTGTTCAAACCCTGCCCTGCCCTAGCTCTCACACCTGGCGAAAATGATTTGTTCATTCTCTCTTGTCCCTGCAATGCCACCAGCTCCTGGAAGGCAGGCTGTCCCTGTCCACAGCTCCATGGTGCCTGGCATGGTGCCTACTTTGTGTAGATGCCCAATTTTGCAGTGATCTGCTGCATCACTGCCCACAGCCCATATGCACAGACCTCCCCCTTGCACAAGTCCCCTTATACACAGAACACTAAGGGCACTCAACACCACGCTCAGGGGTGTGTGTCCCGGGTGGACCCAGCTGATGCCCGCCTAGTCTGGGCAAACTGGTGTGACAGGACCCCCAGAAGATTGAGGGGCTTCCAGGAAAGAACATGTCTTAAGGGAGTGGGAGCCAGGCATATCAAGGCTGCTAGCTGGGGTACCGGGTCTCCACCAGGGCAGCAGGGAAGACAGGGTGGAGGCTCAACCAGGGACCTGCGCAAATCCTTGGTTGAAAGTAGGCACAGACCCAAGGTCTCGTCCCACCTGACACCGCCCAGCATGGGCACCTGAAATGGGGGTGGGGGTGGGGTCAGGGTTGTCTGAAACCCTGGAAGCAGTGAGGATGCCACATGACAGTGACCACATGTGTAGGTCAATGGGGGACTCCTGAGCACTCACAGGGCTTGGAGAGAGAGACTGGGCAAAGTCAGCTAAAACTGATTGTATACTCACAAGCACTGTCAGGCACTGTCCTAAACGTTAGATGTGTATTAATTCATTTTTTATTATATAATTCAGCAATATGTACTGGTATTTAAGAAAGAGACATAACAAAGGATGTAACAAAACATCACTAGTGGCCGGGCACAGTGGCTGATGCCTGTAATCCCAGCACTTTGGGAGGCCAAGGCAGGTGGATCACCTGAGTTCAGGAGTTTGAGACCAGTCTGGCCAACATGGCGAAACCTTGTCTCTATTAAAAATGCAAAAATTAGCTGGGCGTGGTGGTGCATGCCTAAAATCCCAGCTACTTGGGAGGCTGAGGCAGGAGAATCGCTTGAACCCAGGAGGCGAAGGTTGCAGTGAGCCGAGATCGCGCCACTGGACTCCAGCCTGGGCAACAGAAAAAGACTTTGTCTTTAAAAAAAAGAAAAAAAAAAAAAAAAGAAAAAAATTGCTAGTTTAGATTAACACAGAGGAAATATCAGACTAAATGGTACTTTCTTAAAATGAGCTGATAAGTAAAAGTTGTGTATGTTTATGGTGTATAAAAGGATGTCTTGTGGTATATATACATTGTGAAGTGGCTAAGTCAGGATATTTAACATGCGCCTTACCTCACACTTATCATTTGGTGATACATAGCTACCAAGTTACGAGAACACTTAAAATCTACTCTCGGCAAATTTCAAATACACAACACTGTTATCAACTGTAGGAAACATGATATACAATAGATCCCTTGATCTTACTCTTAACTGAAATGTTGTGATCTTTGACCAACATCTCCCCAACCTCACCCCATTCCACCCCAGCGTCTGGTAACCACCATTTTACTCTGAGTTGGATTTTTTTAGACTCCACATATGGGATCATGTGATATTTGTCTTTTTGTGCCTGGCTTATTTCACTTATGATAGTGTTCCCCAGGTTCACTCGTGTTGTCACAAATGACAGGATTTCTTTCTTTTTTTGAGACTGAGTTTTGCTCCATGGCCCAGGCTGGAGTGCAATGGCGCGATCTCAGCTCACTGCAACCTCCACCTCCCGGGTTCAAGCGATTCTCCTGCCTCAGCCTCCTGAGTAGCTGGGATTACAGGCGCTCGCCACATCTGGCTAATTTTTGTATTTTAAGTGGAGACGGGGTTTCACCATATTGAGCAGGTTGCTCTCGAACTCCTGACCTCAAGTGATCCACTCACCTCGGCCTCCAGAAGTGCTGGGATTATTAAAGGCGCGAGCCATTGCGCCTGGCCAGGATTTCCTTTTTAAAGGCAGAATAGTGTCCCATTGTATACAGACCACATTTTTTTTATCCATTCATCCACTGATGGACACACTGGTCGAATGTCTCGCTACTGTGAATAGTGCTGCAGTGAACATGGGGTGCAGACACCTCTCTGACACAGATTCCATTTCCTTTGCATGTGTACCCAGGAGTGGGATGGCTGGATCATACATAGTCCTATTTTTGGTTTTCTGAGGAACCCCCCCAGTGTCTTCCAGAACATGTGTACTAACCGACAATGCCACCAACAGGGTGCGAGGGTTACCTGTCTCCACATCCTCGCCAACACTTCTCTTCCATCTTTTCCTACAGCCATCCTAACAGGTGTGAGGTGGTTTCCAGTGGCCTTTCCCTGGTGATTAGTGATACTGAACATTTCTTTCACATGCCTGTGGGTCATTTATGTGTGTTCTTTTGAGTTACTTTTTTACTATTGTATTGTTTGGGTTTCCTTTGGATTTGGGATATTAACCCCTTATCAGATGGATGGTTTGCAAATGCCGTCTCCCATTCGGCAGGCTCCCCAACTCTGCTGATTGCTCCTTTGCTGGGCTGGGTTCACTCATTTAACAAGAGGGCTGAGACGATGCTGACCAGCAGGAGCCACTGAAATGTGGGTCAGTGCCACTCATGTCATTGCTAAGCGCCCTCCCACAGGCTAGAGCAGGCCCAGGGCAACTTCGGGACACACACAGGCACACCCACTCACTCCTGTGTGTCTCCACCCAGCCCCTCCCCACATCCCAGGGAGAGAACTGCAGAGCCACCCCACTCCCACCCTCCCCCACTCCGGTGTACACAGCTCTACACTGGTGTCTGGAAGCCACACAGAGCATTCTAGGACCCAGAGAAGACAACTTCCATACCCTGCTGGGCTGGGGACGAATCCCCGGGGCCTTCTCTCCTAGTCTGAGGAGAGCACCAGCTCTAGGGGTGGTGGGGGCTCTCGGTTCCGTTCTGCCCCCCCAGCTGACCTCAGAACTACAACCTTGTTCCCCTAACCCTGCAAGCGCCGGGGGAGAGGCCTGGAGTCAGTGCTCTCTCTACCCCACCCTCCCCACTGCCTCTTTAAATGCCAGCATTCAACCAGGGGTGAGGTGTGTTCAATCAACCAGGCGCCCGAAGGGGTCCAATGGGGTCCACACGGGCTAGGGGAGAAAGTGGAGGCTGAGATCCACGTTTCTTCACAGGCCCCCAATTCCACTTTGCTCTATACCGTTTCCCTAGATGCAGTAGTCCTTCATACATTAGCGAGAATTCACCGGTTCCTTTGCTTTCTTCAAGGAGGAGCTCAGTCTGACATCCAGTTTAAGAGGGTGAGGCATAACTGGGAACGCGTGTCTGCAAAAACCCGACCGCTTTAGAGCTGGAAGTGCCAAGAGCAGGTGCTCTTGACCCACTCTGCCCGCCCACCCTTACTCTGAAGGGGCAGGGACCCCAGCCTGTTGTAACAGTTCCAGAACGTCTGACACTAGAGACGAATTAGCAGCCAGGTGCACTCACATTTAGCTGTTTTTAAAGCTTAAAAGCTCTGTACAAAAAAAAAAAAAAATCACAAATGAATCCTCACAACACCCCTGTGAGGTAGGTAGGCAAGTATTATTCTCCCATTTTACAGATATGGGGAAACTGAGGCAGAGAGGTGATGTGATCAGCCAGTGGTCCCAGTTCAGCTGAAAGTCAGAGCCAACCATGAGAATACAAATGATCCCTCCCCATTCAGTCCCATCTCTGACTCCGCATCTAGACCTTGTCTGCAAAGAAATTAAAACTTTCAATTCATGCAAAAATAAAAACAATAAACCTGAAAAGGTAGTGAACAGACATACAGTAGTTCTGCAAAAGAATTCAGCCAAGGGGGTCAAATATTTTCCAATACTGGGTAAATGGGAACAACTTCGGCCTCCTCCTCTTTTCAAACATCATGACCAATGGCACATCCTTTTTTTTTTTTTTTTTTCTTTTTTTCCTGCAGAAGTACACGATCCTAACCAAAGACAGGCTTTCCTGGTCCCAGTGAGCCGAGCAAGGTGGACAGCCTCCTCACTGTTCAGCTCCTGGGTTTCAGCAAGCACCAGTCCCCAGCTGGAAGAGCTGCAAGACTCAACTCAAACATGGCACTTCTCTACCACCTGCTCCCAGCAGCCCTCCCGCTGTGTGGACAGAGTGGATCCCAGCAGCCTCTAACTCAGCAGGGTCTGGCCTTTTCTGCTTCCACCAGGAGGCAGGCTCAAAGATGCTCGGCAAGGACAGCCTGGAACCCAGGTGATCCCCTCCCACCACCCTCAGTGCACCCCTGCACACCTCACTGTCCATGAGGACCACCCCAGCAACCGCCCTTGGCCAGCACTCCTTGGGGCTCCTGCTGCAGCAGGTGGGGGCACCAGGCCATCCTGGGCCGCTGGGACAGGGAGAGGTGCCGGGGGACCTGCAGCTCCAGGCCGTGGCTTCCTCTGTGCCTCCTGCCCAGGTTCCCAGGCAAGTGGAGCAGGCCTCTTCCACTGTGCTGCGTCCGCATCCTGGAAGCTCTTTCCTCCCTGAGAGGGGCTCCCCAAGGTCTCCAGCTCCTTGAGAAACCTCCACCATCCTGCCAGCCCCACCAGGCCAGGTAGGTGTTCTTCCTGCAGTCTCCCAGGTTGGAGATGCGAGCATGAGAGTCCAGAAAACTGGGTGAAGCTGCCTTTCACATAATAGGTCTATCCAGAACACTGTCCCCTCCACCTACCTCAGGCTTCGAGATGCCCGAGGGCAGTGCTTGGGCAGCAATAAGGGGAGCGGCAATGGCAGAGCAGCAGGAGTAAGGAAGTGGGGAGCTACCAGTGGCCGGGTCTGCTCTGTGCCAGGGGCTGCCAGGCCAATCTGAGAGCAGGGTGAAGAGGACAAAGACATCCACAGTGTCTGGCAACTGGGGGAGTGAGCTCCTTGGAGGCCAAACGCCAGCCTGTTTGCAGATGCACACAGCAGAGTGTGCACCTTGTGAGCACTCCAGTGAGTGCTGCTCCCTGGAGGTCAGCCACACACCTTGGTGGTTTGCAAGAGATGGCTGTGCTGTCTCCCTGTCCTATAAAAAGTTCTTTCTAAAAAGGCTCCCAACTCCGCCCAGTCTCTCTAGGAAGCAGGGGAATCATTTCCTCAAGACCAGCACCCCTCAGGGCCACTCCCAGCCAAGAGCACCTCAGACACCCCAGGCCCGCGTGGGGCCCTATGGGTGGGGGACAGGGAGTAGGTCCCCCTACAGCAAGTCCTCGGGGGCGGAGGGCTCGAGGCTGCAGCTCTGCGCCTGCCACCGGTAGCGCAGCCTGGAGAAGGGCTGGTCCTCCCCGCTCTCCAGCTCGGGGAATCCCAGCTCGTTGAGGATCTCGTAGATGCCAGCCTTCGATGCCACCTGGGAGGAGAGCAGAGGCAGGGGCAGTGTTTCAGGGGAGGGAGGATGCCACTCAGGCCACTGAGTTCTGAAGATGAGTCTGTGGCCCATGAACTTGGTGACCTGAACAAGTTTGCACCTTGACTTCTGTTAACTTCTCTGGGCCTCAGTTTCCTCATAGGAAGGAAAAGGCTCTACCTCACAGGACTGTCTTGAGGAGGACTCTACACGTACAGAAGTACTGGGCAGACAGTGAGTGCTCCATGCAGAGAGCAGCAAGGGAGGCCGGGCACACGCTGGGCCCTGTGTGGCTCAATGCTCCCGCATGGACGCCCAGGAGCGGGCCTGCAGAGGGCTGGAGGAGGAACACGGATGCCCAGGAGCGGGCCTGCAGAGGGCTGGAGGAGGAACACGGATGCAGGGGCAGGTAAGGCTATGGCCTCTGCCCCATTGGCCCCCCTGGACGCTCAGGCCTGTCGCCCAGCAGCCCAGACCCTGGCGCCAGACTCAAACCATCCATAACCAGTCCCCTTCTTTCTCCACCGTCCTGGGGGTGGGGAGGGTGCAGCCTCCACTTAGAACAAAGGAATGGGTCCGTCCCGCTCTGGCCCTGGGGCCACCCTCACTGCCACCCTCCACTCATCCGCAGGAGAGAGGGGCTGAGGTCCCCTGAGGATGGAACCCACACTTCGGCCTGGACTGGCAGCCCTCCTTCCTTGACCTCCCCCAGTAGGGGATTCAGCTGGGGAGGGGATCAAGCTTCCTCTCAGCCCCAGATTCCCCCAGCTTCCGCTCTCCAAGCAGAACCAAGCAGGAAGCATCCTCATCCCCTTCCACCTCCACCCCTCCCCAGGGGCTCACAGAGGAAGCTGAGCCCAGGCCTGCTCAAGAGGGTGGCCCCGACATGGCCTTGGTGTGACCACATCAGGTCTCCTGACTCAACACACATCACATGCACCGGGGGCATTTCAAATGCTTCTCCACCTGACGACCTGAGGCCCACCCTCAAAGCCTGCCACTCTGCCTCCACTCCTTCACAGCCCTGAGTCCACCTCACACCTGCCTCAGTCCCCGTACCCTTCCTGTGCCCACTCTGGCCGGGTCACCAGCCCCTGCTCTCCACCCACCCACTTCCCAGGAGCTAATTCCAGCCTCTAGTCCAGATTAGAACTGCCAGGATCTGCTGGTGAGGCTGGAGGGGCCAGCTTCCTGGCAGAGGAGTAATTACAGGCCGCTTTGCCAAGGAGGAAGGAGGCCTCTCTTCTGACCTAGAGGTGCCAAGGTGGCAGCTCTGCCTCTAAAACAGCCAAGTGGAAGACGAGCCAGGAGGCCAAACAGAGAGGATCCAGGAGGCTGGACAGCGAGGGTGGTGTCTTAGGTCAGGATATGGTGGGCTCTGGAGCCAATCAGTCAGCCCTAATACCAACCTTGAACAAGTCACCCACCCTCTCTATGCTCAGTCTCCGTCTCTGTAAAATGGGAGAGCAACAATCACACCGTGCTAGACCCGCCTAGTACAGGCTCCAGCAGACGGCACTGTGTGTCTCCCCACGTCCCCACGGCAGCCTTCGGGGCTGGCACCCACAGGATCACATCCCCTCCATGTTAGTGCTAAGGCCAGCAGCTGTGGAGGAGTTGGCTCACTGGTACAAGGCCATGGCTGGAGGGAGAAAGGGGCAGGGCCACCTCGCAGAGCACAGGTGAGGGCTGACCACAATTGTGGGCATGAAGTGCCCAGAGCCGCCATCCACGCAAGGGTGGCTGTGCTGATGTGTGCTACAGGGTCCCAGTCCCAAAGGCTGCCCTGCTCTGTCCCCCACCACTCTGTCCCTCCCTCCTCCTCATTCATCTGTTCATTCATCAAACTCATCAACTGCCTGCCAGGCGCAGACAAACTGCTCGGGACTCAAAGTCAGATCAGACAAACTCTTGGCCAAACAGAAGCCTTCTGCAGAAAGGGGGATGGAAGCTCTTCCCGCCTGTCACGGGCACAGCACGGCTGTGACCCAGCTCCATCTGCAGGAGGTAGCTAAAGAGGCCCTCTCGGCCTCAGCCTCCCCTCACCTCCTGCATCCAGGTGCTGAAGGGCCTCTGCCAGGAGCCGGCCTTCTCCAGGTGGAGGTACGCATTGAAGAGAATCAGGCAGACATAGCGTTCTAGGTACTGCAGGCTCCGCAGCTGCAGCCTCCGCATTTCCTGCGCCTCTTTAGCTGCCTTTGCCTGGAGGACAGGACAGGGTGCGGTCAGTGTGGGGGGTCAGTGTGCCCCCCAACACACAAACATACCACCCCGCTGCCCTGAGCGCCAAGGTTGATCCAACCTCAGAGCCAAGGGCACTGCCTCCACCTGACTTACAGGACGAGCAAGCCAGGGCTGTGGGTCAGGAGCCCACTTCCCACCTGAGAGGCATGGCCGGCCTCCCGGCCTCCCTCTCCTCGTCATGGAATCACAAGCACTGTCCTGCTCTGAGGGGTGAACGGGGACAGCAGGAGAGCTCATTGCAGATACCCTCCACGGTGCCTGAGGTGCGCTGAGGCCCTCCCACATGGCAGGATCCATGTCCAGGGTGGGAGGACCCTTACTGCCACTTCCTGCCAACTCCCAATCCTCCAAGGACCAGAGGAAAGGCTTCACTCCTCTCTCTGCAGCCCCTCAGGCCTCCCGCAGGGAGGGTATGAGTGCTCTGACCAGTGGCCTGGGAGGCGCCGATGGCAGAGGTCATTAAGGCTGCGTTCTTGGGGCTCTGCCGTGTGGATGCACATTAACCTCCTCCCGCCGACTGACCCGCTCCTGCACTGGGCCTACTGGGTGGGTGAGTTCATCCTCCAGCCTTGAAAGGGAGAAACCCCATCTTAGCCTCTGGGCCCAAAGGTCCCTAAGTGACTTCCAAAAGTGAAAGGGGTACACGTACAGCCCTCACCCTCTCCAAGGCTGGGGACAGGTAACAAGAAAGGCTACCTGGCCGACGAGCAGCAAGAGATGAAGCAGCTGAGGAGAGGGTTTGGGAGAGGAGGTGTGAGTGCAGGGGAGACTGTGGGGCATCGATCTTTTAAGCAAGCAAGCCTAAGCATCTTCACGGGAAATGGCACCAGGCCACGTGCTGGGGCGAGAGGGACAGCAAAGTCAATTAGAGAGGTTTCCCAGAGAGTGTGGGAGTGCCACTGGGCCGTGGAGGCCTGGTGGATTTGCACAGACAGAATGTGGACCAGATGGGGGAAACACAGAGGTGAGGCTGGTGCCTGGAGTATGGGGCTGAGAGGGGCTGGCCTGGCTGGAGGAAGAATGAGGAGGGATAAGAGGTGGTTCTGCCATTCTGCTGGGCTGGATCTATTATGGAAGCCACCTGTGTCACCTAGAAAGTTTATCCCCAGGTCAGCGGTTCACAACCTTGCTGTCCATGAGAAACATGAGCAACTTTAAAATGCAGATGTCTGGGCCCCACCTAGAACAATCCAATGAGAATCTTAGCAAGGTGTGGCCTGGGCATCGGGGTTGTCAAAAGCCCTCGGGGTGACTCTCTATAGCCAGGGTTGCACACTATGGCTTCAGTACTGGGGAGCCATCGAAGGCTTGAGAGTATAAGTGACCCGTTAACAGAAGACGTATGGGAGATTTGTGCTCAGGAGGAAGGGAACTTAAAAGAGAGTCCTTTCTAGGTTCTCCACAATGTGGGGGGTCAGGGACAGGCCACAGGCCAGGGATAAGACCCAAGACATGCACAGCCGGGCTCTCCTACAGGGCACCCTGCCCACCCTGCTCCTTCCACCCCTCACAGACATGTCACCCACCCAGCACCCTCCCCTGCATGCTATGGAAGTGGAGTTTGGAGAGTGAAGGCCATACCTCGTCTCACACCCACCCCCCAGACCCACAGCAGCTCTCCCTGCTCCAGGAAAAGGACGTGGCACAGGGTCATCCCTCGGGCACCAGGAACATCTGTGCGAGGACACAGAAAGACCCAGCCTCTGGGAGCCGGAAAGGGCTGTTCGCCTCACAGCTGGGCTGCAGCTGGAAGCCCTTCCGCACAGGAACACGACGTCAGACTACATGCATCTCCTCCTCAGCCCTGGGGTGGCTCTGCGGCCTCAGACGTGGCATGGCCCACAGTCCCAAGAATCAGAGCTGGAGTAGCCTGAGCAGGGCCTGTGGTCCCCAACCTCCCACTTCTACCTCCACGGCCTCTGCTGTCTTTGCCTCCAGGGTCGCAGAGTGGACGGTAACTTGCAAAGCCTGCCCACCCATCCACCCAGAAGGAGCTCTGGGGCCCTGGAGATGGGGGCAGGGTGAAAGGTGGACAGTGGGCTGTGCCCAAGAGGGGCGAGGGGACTAGAGCCAGCACTGTGACTCCCTGGGAGACGTGAGTCCCATAAGCTGGGTTCAGGTCCTGGTTCTGCCATTTAAAGTCACA